TTGATTTGTACAGATGCCGGGATTGCTTGATTTGTACAGATGGGATTGCTTGATTTGTACAGATGGGATTGCTTGATTTGTACAGATGATGGGATTGCTTAGTATTGTTTTTAAAAGCATGATGTCGTATTTCCGCTTGTGTTGTTCAGTGATTTGGCTTATAACAACCTGACGTCCTTGCCGGCATTGGTGTTTGCCAGTCTCACCAACCTGCAATACTTGTAAGTCGGCCATCCACCTTTATGTATCACAAGTATCGCAGCACTTGCATAACAAAAATCCTGAACGCAGGGACCACATTTAGGAGATTATTTGAATGGTCAGTTTAGATAGGTTTCCCTTCACTGACTTGTTCATAATCTTGGGTTTAATAGACCAACTGAAACAATGCCATTTCAAGCCAGGATTCTAGGATTTGGACATAAATAAACAAAACCAGAGGAGTGCAGGACACCAATACCAATTTTGCTGCTGTGTAATTTTGCTTTTGAACACTAGCAACGGGGATAAAATGGCGGAAATGGTTAGCTTATGTCATGCATATCCATCAAAACAGCCAGGGATCTGCTCTCTCTTTCTCTTTCTCTCTCTCTTTCTCTCTCTCTCGCGTGCGCGCCCACTCACATGCACACATGTGTGTGCATATGTTAGCATTTTTTAAAGTGCATGTGGACGCATGTGTGCGCATGTGTGTATATGTGGGCATGTGCATCGGCACTAATAAACATGTGTGTGTGTGTGTGTGTGTGTGTGTGTGTGTGTGTGTGTGTGTGTGTGTGTGTGTGTGTGTGTGTGGTGTGGGTGTGGGTGTGTGTTTGTGTATGCGATATTTTAAAACATGATGTTCCTTCTCTAGGTCACTTGATAACAACCCAATACAGTATTTTGAGTCAATGAGCAACTTTCTAGTGTTTGACAACATGGTGCACCTTCAAGTTTTGTCACTGAGAAGACTGCAGCTGATCAAGGACCGGATGCTTGTCGACAACTATAATCTGTTTTGGAAACTAAAGGAGTTGTCAGAGCTGTAAGTCGTGGTGATGAATTCTGGCTTGCTAGCGGCATTCAAGTGTACATGCTGGCAAGCAGATGACATGTTTGTGCATTATTCTACAGTTTGGTGATATGTGCGGTAGTTTTCCACGGGTAGCATGGGTACCCAATCGGGTATTGTTTCCATGGTAACACCACAACGCACCCCTAGCCCTTCCCTTACACACGGGGTAGACATGCGGAGTATTACATGAATTTGTACACGTGCACTTTACATGATGTCATCTGCGACTTCGGGTTTTCGGGTACGAATCTGTACCCGTCTACCCGAGGTCCTCACGGGTAGCATGGGTACCCGACTACCCATGCACACCACTAATTATAATGGTATCTATATCTCTTGACTGTTCCCATGGTATAGACATCTGGACGGCAACGTCGAGAGAAGGCCAAACTTTGCTGGACTCTTGTTCTTCACGGGAAATGCCATCAAAGAGTTGTAAGCATGTGCCGAGTGAAGTTATTCAGTTTGACTTCAATCTGTGTACATCAAGTCACACACAAAGACCTATCTATGCTATTTACTATAGCTTCTAGATCTTTTGTCGTCGTGAATCTTTGCCTGCTTTTATTTTCTAGATGCTTTGTAGCAGCAAATTGAACATATGTGAAGGTTCCGAGAAAAGGCTATGATGATCAAGCTATGATTGCTCATGCAGACTCACTGTAGATTTCTGCATTGTGCAGCCTTTAAAATTCGCTATGCTTGTGTGTGTGTGTGTGTGTGTGTGTGTGTGTGTGTGTGTGTGTGTGTTTGTGTGTTTGTGTTGAGACTAAAAATATAATTCATTCCTTTCCTGTTGTCCTCTCTGCTGCAGGTACTGGGGTGGACATACGTTCAAGAGTCTTGGCTACGTTGGCAAGCCATGCGCACTGGAAAAACTGTAAGCACAGAGGCAGAGCGCAGTGCTCTATGCACTGGATTTGCACGGGGCAGCAAATTCCACCGCAGTCTTTTCTCCTTATTACCCTGCCATAGCGATGCTAAGCAACCTTGTTGCAAAGACGAATGGTCTCTTCTGCCTCGTGGCTACTGGTGAAAATACTCGTACACAGCTGGTGTAAAACAGCTACCTGTATATCATACTGGAACACAACACGGCAAGTACTCCATTGAACTATTACTTTCACTAAACAGTCCACTTTATTCTTGATGCAGTGAACCAGCATAGTTCGCTCATTGGAAGTGAAAAGTTGGTTCATGCAAGCAAAGTTGCGTCCACTGACCAGCCAATGTATCCCCGGGATTCACATTGCCAGGGATCTGCAGCCCCAACACTGTTTTATCCATGGGATCTGATTTATATGACCCTTAGCTCGGGTCCCAAAAGGGGCTTACATAATCCAGGAGATTACTGTGAAAATACCTCAGTCCAAAATCTTCATCTTTCACAGAGTTATGGGTGGATGAAATGTGTATGTACATCTCTTTATATGGAAACCTCAACTTTCAGATGCATTTCTGTGTGTGTGTGTGTGTGTGTGTGTGTGTGTGTGTGTGTGTGTGTGTGTGTGTGTATGTATGTGTGTATGCATGTACGTGTATGCGTGCCTGTTGGTTATGCAGGAGAATGCCAACTGGTACACTGGAGACTATGCACTGGGAAATTGGTGGGATTTGCGGCCGGTGCAATCGCTTGACTGAAATGTAAGGTACAAGGTCTAACCTGGTCCAGGGAATTAAGTATTGCTAAATACTGTACATAACTTTGTGGCACAGCCCTGGAAAAACTGTTCTCATTGTTGATGTAGTGATGTACATCCGGACATTCTTTTTACTTCTCCCCCAATGCGCCCCCCCCCCCCCTCACCCACACACACTTGGTCGATGTTCATGCTTGATTTGTCTTCTGTGCCGGGTCTGTGATAGTTTTGTTGCCAGCTTATTCTGTTGGGCACGATCTGCATTTCCATGTTTACTACTGAACTCACCGAAATCAAATGTGTGTGTGTGTGGAGGGGGGGGGGGGGGGAAGGGGAGAGGTGGTTTTGGACAAATTTGCCAAATTCTTTACACAGGGGATGATGCACTTTTTGAGGCGGGTGGTCTTCATTGCGTGGTCTGGTGAGAGTGGTGCAGATATGAAGTGGCGAATGATTTTCAAGCCATGGCTTTCTTTGTTTTACCTTTTCTTACTGTCCTTTGTGTAGAGATATGGCCAATAACAAGTTGACTGACATCGACCCGCTTCAAAACTGCACACAACTAACACAGCTGTAAGCATTCTATTGATATTCAATGTAATGGATGGTGGTGTTTTATTGGTCACAGATCAGAGAGTTTCAAAATTATGTAATTTTTAAAAATAAGAGCACTCAAATTCATGTGTGCACAACCATGGTTATCATCTTACTATGTAAGAATTTGAAGTACATCTTTACATGGCACAATTTGTAGTTACCGTATTATCTCTAATATAAGCACAGTCTCCAATAATAGCACGTCTCCAATAATAGAACACCTTGGGGCGGCATTCAAAAAATAAAGTGCTCAGTCTCCATTATAAGCACACTGTGCAAATTCATTATCTGTGCCGGCGAAAAAACCCTGAAATGTGTGTGTCTGACATGAATTTGGCCATGGCAACATGCCTATGAAATGAGGTTGAAATAATAATGGAACAGTCTCCAATAAAGGAACGTCTCCATTAATAGCACGGGGCGGAGGTACATTGAAAAAATAAAGGACCGTGCTTATATTAGAGATAATACGGTATATTGAGGGTTGAGGGATATGCTCAAATAGCACTGTACGATGTACAGTTGTACTGACTACAAAAAATTAGTTGTGCCGTGGATGCACTTGCTAACTTCCGGATAGGAATGATCCTGACACATCAGTACGTGGGTCGGATTCCCCCTGAAATGCTATGTATTTTCTGCACTTTGGGCAAACTTGCAAAGCACGTATTGCCTTCGAAATTTGGTCTTCCGTTTCCATAAGCATTATGGTACATTTTAATGAAAAAGACAAGGTGTGAAAATATGATACGTATACTGTAATTTCACAAATTTTCGGTGTACTTTTATTTTCGGTACTTTCGGTGCATCTGTTTCATACCTAAAAATTTCAATACACCGAACAAACACCAACACACATAAACCAATAGGGAACTGCTTCTCTGTACCTAAAATTTCTGTTCACCTAACCTGGCCTTTTGCCCGGCTCAAACCGAAAACATTGAGCACCGAAAATTTCTGAAATGAGACTATATTTTTGATTCTGGCAACTTCCGTTTGGCTCTGCAGATACCTGAAGCAGAACCAGCTGACAACTGCCATTGTGGAAAAGACAATTTCTTTCCATACTGCCCTTGTTGACGTGTAAGTGTTTGATCGCCTCTTCCTTTTCTGGATCAGGGTCACTCACGTAGTGACACATGCCATTGAAATTCTGGGTGTGTCTAATTTCAAATCCAGATTGTGCAACAAATATGCGCAAAGCCATTGAACGGGTTCAGAACCTTACTCAATGTATATTTACCGTACCGATATGAGCATTAAATTTGAGTATTGCGCTCACTTGCCTCATCATGAATAAAAACTCTGAGCTCCGCTGATGAGACCTAAGAATTTAGAAAGCCGTCGGAAGATTGAGATGTATGTGACTTCTAGCTAGCTTTCCAGAACATGTCAGCCTGCTTTGTTTTGGTTCACTGTTGGTAGGTAATGATTTAAATACTCTGCGTTTGTTCCCATATTTCCGGCTTCTCCTGTGATGTTGACTACATTTGTGTAGGGTCCTGAGCCACAATCACATTGAGCGGCTGAAAGAGTTTACCTTGGGCAACATGTCACGCCTGGAGCACTTGTAAGTTCAACGGAACCTCTCACGTAGCCTACTTTCAGCATGTTCAGGCTTCCCATGGAACATCTTTTGTTCCGTTTGCCTGGGTAGCTGCATGTGGGCCATATCTTCCAAGCACCCAGGCCCCCCCCCCTCTCTCTCTCTCTCTCTCTTTCTCTCTCTCTCTCTCTCTCTCTCTCTCTCTCTCTCTCTCTCTCTCTCTCTCTGTCTCTCTCTCTCTCTCTCTCTCTCTCTCTGTCCCTCTCTCCCTCTGTCCCTCTGTCTCTGTCTCTCTCTCTCTCTCTCTCTCTCTCTCTCTCTCTCTCTCTCTCTCTCTCTCTCTCTCTCTGTCTCTCTGTCTCTCTGTCTCTCTGTCTCTCTCTCTCCCTCCCCCTCTCTCTCTGTCTCTCTCTCTCTCTCTCTGTCTCTCTCTCTCTTTATCTCTCTCTCTCTCTCTCTCTCTCTCTCTCTCTCTCTCTTGCCTTCACCATGTCGTTTTCCGTTTCTCTGTCTCTCCCTCGTCGTTTGTCAGGCAGTCGAAAAAAACTTGCTGTTAGGACACGTCTTGATAATCACTGCCATACCTATCCAAGTTTTGCATTGCACATGTCTATGCAAACTATTGTTCCTTTTCTTATCATCATTCCTCCAAATCTGTGCTTAGTAACAATCTGCACCAAGTGATAAACTCGAATTAATAGCAGCGCATGCAATGCGAATAGTCTGTCTCTGTCCAAATCTCCCCAGAGATCTCTCGTACAACCCGCTGGTGGACATCCATCCCAGGGCATTCATGGGTACGCCGATGCTGCACAGACTGTAAGTCAGTAGTACCAACACACATGGCTCATGCATGCACCTATGACCCTCATTTCTGACTGATCTCTGACTGATGCACAACACAGAATTATTCTATCACACACGATAGGAGAGACTACGATTACATCATCGTAATTACTCGTAGTCTATGTCCAAGTTGGACCTTTTCCTATCAAATATTTAACTGCTCAGTTGCACCCAATGCTGAGCACAGTGAGCACAGATCCGATGAGAAAGTAAGACTGGGTGCAGGCGACGCTGCCAATTCTGATCTGTTGCTTGATGCGGAAACATTACTTTTCCACACCCCATGCAACACAGTAGCTGCTGCACACTGTGGTTGTGTGTGTGTGTGTGTGTGTGTGTGTGTGTGTGTGTGTGTGTGTGTGAGGGAAGGGGGGGGGGGTATACGTATACTTTTGTAAGCCAAAAGGGTAGCCTTGTCAGCTGACTGAATGTTGTGCCAACACAGCAGTTCAGAGTGTTTTAGCAAGTTTTGTTTCTGATTAGCAGCTACATACATATACATGACTCAGTCCCTGTCTGCAGATTTCCACCGTTTGGCATTCGGCCCATACTCTGAATTACCAGCTTGCGCAGCTTGCGCAGAGAGTTTACTGCCTAGATAAAGGTCTAACATATACGACACGTCACATGCACGAGAAGCTCGTGGATATTGTCATTGCTTTCCTGAGATATTTATTGACAACTGCTGTAAAATACGCTGCCGTGTTTGCATACTGATGGGTGTTTCTATCTCCGTTTTTCTCTACCATTGTGAACGTACATGGTAGGATATTGAATGGAACTCAGTTTCCCAAGTTTCCGGAGCTCGGCCTGCCGCGACTTTTCCAGCTGGACATTGCTGAAGGTGTTACAAACCTGCATGTATTTCCACCATCCAGAAACTATCCATCCCTCAGATTTCTCAAGGTACGGTTTTTCTGTGTACTAGCATTCTTTGCTTCACATTCTATGAGCTGTCATGCTCACAGGAAAGATCTCTGTGTTGTCCTCCCTTTTGTCCTTGCTCTTTTTCTTGCTCAGCTTCTTGTTGCTCTTGTTCTCTGTGTGAATGAAGTATTCTGAGGCATTCTGTAGCTTGTTCCCTGCTTGACTTTACCATTATCAATGTATGTGTATGAGCAAATGGCACAGACTTGCAGCCTCAGGACTTGCACAATTGCTTCATGGGCATTCTTATACAAACTAGCATCACACCTTCTGAGTTGTAGGTCTAAAGCGAGGTGTATTCTATACTGGCATGAGGTGGGCAACATGTTGTTAAGACAGCACTCTATCTTCCAATGTGCAATTGCATGCAGATTTCCACCAACATGCAGAATACCATAGAGGAAAGCCTGAAAAGAGCTAATAAAATTCTTCGAATTTCCACTAGCAAGACATGATTTCATCCATGGAACATGAGCAAAATTATGTTTGCCATGATCACCTATCCAATACCGATAGTCTATTATATTAATTAGTCATATCTTTTTGCATCTTTACCTCGAGTGGGTCTATTGTTATTAGGCAATTGTCTGTTATAGTCACCACTATAAATAAAAATCCAATCCAATCCATCACTCACACTATTTTTTTACTCTCTCTCTCTACAGACGGAGTATCATTTTCACTGTTGCCGCTGGGAGCACTGGGATACGTGTGATACCGAAGAGGAGGGCTCCGTTGGATCACCAGATCCTAACAACTACAGGAACGCTAATCTTACACATCTTCCAATTCCGTTCGGTGGTAAGTCCTGAGAATCTAGGCCAAACTGATCACATGTTACACACTTGGAATGATGAACTTCTTCTGTCATCTACCGTAAGTCAACAAATATTCGGCGCATATTTATTTTCGGCTATTTTCGGCTTGGCCATTTTCGGCCTAATATTTAGTTGCGGCCAAAATTTCGTTTTGCAAGGTTCAATATGACAGTGCATACAGACAGCAGCAGTAAAGGCTGGAATTTAATGCGGCCAAAATGTGTTTTGGCCTTGGCAGGCCGACATTTAAAGACATCAAAAATCTGTAGACTTTCTGTATAGTCTGGCCATAAAACTGGATGAGAAGACAAAAAATGCATGTTTATCGGGTGAAGTAAATACACTCAAACACACAGTCGCCGAACTTGTGGCGACACACGCCTTTCAAGAGAAAACACTATAGTGCTTGTCACTGCCCCCCCCCCCCCCGGTTTTGGTTTTGTGAGACTGGAAATGTTGTATGGTGTCTGTTTGAGGTGAATACATCCTGTCATCAACAATTACACTAGTACATGGCTAGCATCTGCCTAGAATTCAGAGAAGTTTGGAGAATGTGGCCAAAACTACGGTGACCCCGCTTAGTAGAGGCAGTAAGGACAAGCCGAGTCCAGCTTGACATGTTACTATTGTTTATCATGAAATTGTGTACTTAAGAGAGCATGTCTGAGAATGCCAAAGTATGTGTGCAAGTGGATCTCTCCGATTTCGCTCAAAATTTGCAGGTAGGTTCCCTTTGGGGTGTGGATCGATTATGCAAAGCCCTTGAAAAAGTTTCTGAAGGGAACCTTGAAATTTGCATACCCCTCAAAAATGGCCGAAATATCACATTATTTATGGGTCTAGAAACGAGTCACGCCACAGCGTATACGAACAAGCTATGAACAAAACTCCATCAAGCCAACATTGCCTCACCTTAGAAGAGTTCCTGGAGCAGTACCGCTTAGCCATGCCAGGATCACAGAAGACAAGGTCCATCACCCCCTGACGCCACAAATGATCGTCTTGAAAATAGCCAATTTACAAGCGCTGGCAAAACAGCCAGCTACGTCCTCAATTGGCCAGAACTATACACCGGCAGATAGTAGAACACCTCTTCTAGCGCTGAGGACATGTCCCCCATCTTCCTTTTGGGGTTTTCTTGAAATAAACTTTTTTGAATTTTTCCACTCGACCATGCTGAAATACGGCCAAAGTCATACCTGCGCAGGAAAGCTCGCTACTCCGCGACGTCTCCTCAGCAATTTCTACTCCAACACTACTCCCACAGCCGCAGAACAAAGTGTAGTGTTGACTCTGACAAGGAAAAGCAGCGGTGATCACTTGTCACTCCAAACGACAAGCTTCTCCTTGCGCCACCAATAATATTTTGTGCGACTGTTGATGCAAAAGTGACTGAAGGCCTGAGCGCAGTTTTTGAATTTTATTGCAAGATGCACGGTGAGATCGCGTGCTCTGTGACGTAGGATGACGCTTCCTGCATCACGTTACGCGGCCATCGATCGCGAATGTGCCTGGAACGCTACTCGGAACAGACCATGATGGCAGAGGTAAGATGAGCTTCATTTCCTGCTTGAACTGCTGAGAACCCCCACAAACTGCCCTAGGAGTGTTGCAATGGCAGCAAGCCGTTGGAATATGCCCCGTACAGCATGGAGAGTTATTCGTCTTTCACACTTACCTCCTGCAATCCCGAACATAGTCCAACAGTAAAAGTCCCTTGTTTTCATGTCGATGCTCGACAAAAGCGACTAGCTCGGTCCCTTTGTGTTGACTGGCACGCGAGCAGCACTGGCTGCACGCACTTGTCGCGTGAACTGCATGAGAGATTTCTTACGTCATAAAGAATGTGATTTCATCATCATTTCACTGGTCTTCGACCTACATGGTCAGGGAAAGTCCCGGTTCGTAGGCCTACAACACGGTCAGCGTGTTCTTGAGCGCCGTAACCTGGTAACAACACAAGTGTGATCACTTCCAGACCAACGGGCGTTCAAGGCGAGTAACAAGCGCACTTGAGAAAGGTGACTCTGAAATCTCGTGAGCCGTGGGCCACGCGACTTGGCATTCTTGCGTCACAAGGCACGTGATTTCACCGTGCATCTTGCAATAAAATTCAAAAACTGCGCTCAGGCCTTCAGTCACTTTTGCAGCAACAGTCGCACAAAAAATTATTGGTGGCGCAAGGAGAAGCTTGTCGTTTGGAGTGACAAGTGATCACCGCTGCTTTTCCTTGTCAGAGTCAACACTACACGTTGTTCTGCGGCCTTGGGAGTAGTGTTGGAGTAGAAATTGCTGAGGAGACGTCGCGGAGTGGCGAGCTTTCCTGCGCAGGTATGACTTTGGCCGTATTTCAGCATGGTCGAGTGGAAAAATTCAAAAAAGTTTATTTCAAGAAAACCCCAAAAGGAAGATGGGGGACATGTCCTCAGCGCTAGAAGAGGTGTTCTACTATCTGCCGGTGTATAGTTCTGGCCAATTGAGGACGTAGCTGGCTGTTTTGCCAGCGCTTGTAAATTGGCTATTTTCAAGACGATCATTTGTGGCGTCAGGGGGTGATGGACCTCGTCTTCTGGGATGCTGGCGTGGCTAAGCGGTACTGCTCCAGGAACTCTTCTAAGGTGAGGCAATGTTGGCTTGATGGAGTTTTGTTCATAGCTTGTTCGTATACGCATTGGCGTGACTCGTTTCTAGACCCATAAATAATGTGATATTTCGGCCATTTTTGAGGGGTATGCAAATTTCAAGGTTCCCTTCAGAAACTTTTTCAAGGGCTTTGCATAATCGATCCACACCCCAAAGGGAACCTACCTGCAAATTTTGAGCGAAATCGGAGAGATCCACTTGCACACATACTTTGGTATTCTCAGACATGCTCTCTTAATTGTTCATATCTGGGTCCAAGTTGGAAGACTCCCTGCCTATTCATTCTTCGGCATCACATTCTTCAGGTGATGAGGTTACTAAAGTTGGGCATCGCACAGGAGATGTTTAAACATTTATTAAACTCCTCTCTTTTGTATTTCCTTCCAGGTTCTTTTGAGGATATGCCACCAGAAGGATTCTTCACCGAACGTACTGATGAGCAGCAGAGACAGTTCAACGCTGTAAGTCAATCCACCGTCAATGTGTCTGGTCAAATTGAAACATACTTTGTCTTTGGGATCACGCCACTTCTAACTGGATCATAATTATGTTCTCCCTCCTTTCCTTAGGAGCAGAGTTTGAATGTTCTACACCCCTATCCCCAGTTTTCAGTTGTCGTGAATGCAGAGACATTCCTGTGCGGATAATGCTGCCCATAGAAGTTGAACCTTCAGAACTATACACATCCACACAATCTGAATCTGTCCAGGTAGAGGCAATCACGTCATCTATATTTTGCTGTGCTGCCTCTGATCCTTTAGACCTGGTCGCGTGCTACGGAAGCCATACTTCCCATCCAGGCGTACACGGGCCGTGTGTGCTGTATGCCGCACCCGAACGGCCTGACGCCCTGCTTCGATCTCCTCGGCGAGTCCTGGCTACGTGTGCTGGTGTGGATCGTCATCGCCATGGCAATAGTCGGCAACGGCACCGTGCTGGTGGTGGTTGGTGTGTCCAAGCAGAGGATCATGCAGACCAAGCCGCTGGTCATGAGCCTGGCGTTTGGCGACTTGACCATGGGCATCTACATGCTTGTCCTGGGTATTGTGGATTTGATGACCAAGGGCGAGTTCTCTCAGTACGCCGTCAACTGGAAGGAGGGTGCAGCGTGCAAGTCGATTGGCTTCCTTGCAGTCTTCAGCTCACTAGTTTCTGTTTTCAGTCTAACAGTAATCACACTGGATCGATATATCACCATTATCCATGCTATGAAGGTGACGCCGCTCAACTCTCGGCGCCTGAAACGCATCCTGCTGGTCGGCTGGCTGGTAATGTTTCTGGTGGCGCTGCTGCCCATCTTCGGTGTCAACAATTACTCGGCGTACGTCGTGTGCCTGCCACTTGCTAGCCGAACTGCCGCTGACATTTTCTACGTGGTGCTGGTGCTTGGAATCACGGCCATCTCATTCCTCCTCATAATTGTCTGCTACATTCACATCTATGTGACGATTCGCAGGTCGCCAGCGCCGATCAAGCCCGATTATCAGGTACGGTTGACTGTTTAAGCGGGGAACTAGCTTAGGCTTGATGGGCTTCTTTGTCTCCTCAATACGATGTTGTAGGGAAATAGCAGTTGCTGCTTAGGTTTGATGGGCTTCTTTGTCTCCTCAATGCGATGTTGTAGGGAAATAGCAGTTGCTGCTTAGGCTTGATGGGATTCTTTGTCTCCTCAATACGATGTTGTAGGGAAATAGCAGTTGATGCTTAGGCTTGATGGGCTTCTTTGTCTCCTCAATACGATGTTGTAAGGAAATAGCAGTGAATGTATTGTGTAAGATTCCGTTTTAGGTCATTTTGCCACAGTAAGGTAATTGTGATCCTTTGCTAGCATACTGCAAATCAACAAATGTTCGGCACGTATTTATTTTCGGCTATTTTCGACCTGGTAAATACCTTGCCGAATATTTGTTGCGGTCGAAATTTTATTTTGCAAGGTTTATTGTGACAGTGTACTAGTATACATTAAGCAGCAGTGCAGGCCGAAAATTTAATGAGGCCGAAATGTGCTTTACCATAAGTCGCCGAAATTTGAATGGGCCGACAATTGTGGACTTCCATGACACGAACCAGCATGCACGAAAACTGCCATTGGGATAGCCATGTCTTCAACAACGTGCTAACCTCAGACTGACGTGGCTGTGTGTGTGTTTGCTTTCTATTGTCCTCTCTTGATTTTAGACGGCGCTCAAAATGGCGGTGTTGATCTTCATTGACCTGTGCTGCTGGTCGCCGATCTGGGTGCTCAGCTTTCACGCGCTTGCCACGCATAAACCCTATATCACACTTCAGCAGGCAAAGTACATTATTGTCCTGGTGTTTCCGCTCAACAGCTGCGCAAATCCATTCCTGTATGCTATACTGACGAGAAACTTCCAGCGAGACCTGGTGAAGATGATCACAAGTGTATCACTGCGTCGCCGGAGTAG